GACTAGTGAGGCGTGAGCTATAGCGAATGCTGTATCTTGATATTTCTTCTTTTACTGTGGGCATCTTTAAGTCACGATGAATTACTTCATTGGTAACATACCAAGGTGCGTTAGAAATTAGTCTTAATGCTTTAGATTGGAATCTTTGCAAGATCTCGATGTTAGAGTTGCTCGCAGTGCCCCATAGCTGTATTGCATAAGTCCATATGGGCTGTAATATGGCTTTGTATAGGATGAGTTTACTTTCCATTCTTAGATTCAATCGTAGGAGCCAGTAGAATTTGTTAACTCTTCCTTTGAGATAGGAGTATTCGGCTTTGATATGTTGTTTCCACGTTAATCTCTTGTCCAACAACAACCCTAAATATTTAACTGAGTCTTTGTGTGGGATATCGGTATTATTTATTTTTATGGGGGGGGGGGGGGCGGGCATGTGGATCTACGTAGAGTGAAAGTAACATGCGATGATTTACTTTCGTTTACGACAATACGCCATCTGTGGAGCCATTTTTCAATATTGCAAATATGTTCCTGAAGAGTCGCAGAAGCTGTTCGAGGATCTTCATGGGATGAAAGAAGAGCTGTATCATCAGCAAATGTAGCTGTAATTATCTTATCTGTAGTAGGTAAATCAGCCATATAGATGGAATATAACAGCGGTCCGAAGACACTTCCTTGAGGTACACCAGGTTCGATTGGAAAGGGCGAAGTTATTACGTTTAATAGTCGTACTTTGAATTGTCTGTTATTTAAATTTAACTGCATAATCAGGAAATACAGGTACGGTAAAATCCGTTTAAGCTTGTATAACAGACCAGTATGCCACACCTTATCAAAAGCTTGTTTGATGTCCAAGAATAATGCAGAGCAATACTTTTTCTTTTCCAAATCCTGACTGATGTTGTGTACTAAACGATAAATTTGCTCCGTTGTTGTATGTTGTTTTCTAAATCCGAACTGATGTTTCGGGGTAATTTCTAATTCTTCAAGGATAGGATACAGGCGCTTGGCAAGAATTTTTTCAAAAAGTTTGGACAAGCTAGGTAGGAGGCTGATTGAGCAATATGAGTTGACCTCGTGGGATTGGTTTTCCTGATTTATGAACAGGAGTAATGATAGACAATTTCCAAGAGGTTGGGTAAAATCCTAGACGGAGAATGGCATTAAAGATATATGCAATGATAGCTATCCCTTTCTTAGATAGTTCCTTGATCATTTTATCACTAACCATATCGTGTCCAGGGGCTTTCCTCGGGTTGAGATTGCCGATCATTAGTTTAACCTCTGCAGATGAGAACGGTTCCAGAGCAGGAGACAACTGAAGTGACGATTGTAAGTAATCGATTATATCTGTTTTGTTAGAAGTAGTCGAAGATGGAAATGGCTTGAATACTTCTGTCATATGACTTGCAAATATGTTAGCCTTGTCTATGGGACTTCTCGCCCATCCACCTTGTGGTAATCTAATGGAAGGTATTACCTGTTGTGGACGAGTCAGTCGCTTAATTGCTTTCCACAAGGAGTAATTTGAGTCGGCTGTAGGGGACAAGTTTCTCAGGTATCTTTGGAAGCAATCATTTTTGTAATTTTGGAGTATCTTTGAAAGTTCTCTTGTCGCTTTGTTCAATTTACATTTATCTTCCGGACATCTACTGATATGCCATGTTTCCGTTTATCTGCGATTTTCTTTTTTATGAAGTCTGGATATTCACGCCAGCTTACGTACTCAAGGTTAGGAGTAGAGGAACGGACTGCATTAATTATATTGTGAACCAGATATTCTATAGCAGCATCTACATCTTCGTTTGTTTTTAGAGGTAATGAGGCCGATGTCGAAGAATTGAACGATTCTTGGAAGTGAGACTAGTTAGTGAGTTTGTTGCTGATGGAGAATGAGGGTCGATTTTCGATAATTGTGGAATTGATAGTTGCAATGACAGGAGAGCGATCAGAGTATAACTCAAGACAAGAAGTGACCTGAATATATCTTGAAGATATATTTTTGGTTATAAAGAAATCCAGTAAGTCTGGTAATTTATTTGTATCGGTTGGCCAGTACGTAGGTTCGCCTGTACTGAGACGATTTAATCTATTTATTCGGATACTTTTTAAGAGAGATCTGCCTCTAGCAGTAATAATTCTGCTGTCCCATTGAGAATGTTTGGCATTAAAATCGCCTCCTACTACCAACTTGTGTCTAAATCCTGCAAAAAAGTCATCGAAGTCCTCTTTGGGGATACTGTGTCTAGGTGGACAGTAAATTGCTGATATAGCAACCAGAGTATGCCAGTCTTGAATCATGATACTTGTTGCTTGGAAGTAATCTTTTTTATAAGGTGAAAGTTCGTAGTGTTTCACGTTAGATTTTACGATAATTGCAGTGCCACCATGCGCTCTGCCACTGGGATGATTTGTATGGTAAATCTGATATCCGTTCATTTTGATAAAGTTTTTATCCGTAAGATGCGTTTCTGAGATAAGCATTACGTGAATATTCTGGTTGTTTAAAAAGTATTCTAGTTAATTTTTATGTTCAACTAACCCGTTGACATTCCAAAGAGCAATACGTACTGGCATCATTGGTTAGCATTAAACGTTAGTTTATTTATGATGGTTGTCAGTAATTATAATAAATTGTTTATTTGTTCTGTTTGTTTCTCGATAAGTTTCTCCAGCCTACTGAAGTTGTCTGTGATTTGTGTATCAGTATCATGGTTTACCAAGGTGTTTCCATATGTATTTATGTATTTTGGTTTCCTTGGACTGCCTGGGCATAAGTAACAGAAAGAATTATATTGCTTTGATTGCTTCTTACCATATTGATTGTTGGAGTCGAAGTAGGATTATCCTTAGTTCTAGGCCTGGGGAACTTCTTTTTATAGAGTTCTTTGTAGACTGGGCAACCTTCATAATTCGCCGGATGGTTTCTTTCGCAATGAATGCATTTTGCTGGAGTACTAGCTACTTTCGTGCATTGAACTGTTGGATGTGATTTTACACAACGAAAATTGTGATTACAATATTTTTGAGTGTGCCCATATCTTTGACACCTTTTGCATTGAACTATTTCTCTTTTTTTTATGTGGAGGTTCTATTTTCACTATAGAGTTCATTAGATGAGTGATATCGTAAACTTTTTTATTATTGGGTTTTTGCTTGAAATCGATAAAAAATAAAGAAGAGGATTTTGAGTAACGCTATGATTAATGTTGAAAATGTTTGTTACTTCATGTCCATGTTTCAAGAATTCTTCCTTTAAATCTTCAAGGTTTGCTGAGTGATGAATATTACGTAGAACCACTCTGAATGATCTTTCTTGCTTTAGTTGGAATGTATGAAAATTTGCGTTAAGCGATTTTAAGAGCTTTGTTATTTTCCTATAGGCATCGGAATCGATTGGTAATATTTTGATTTGGTCATTATTTGTTTTAAGTTTGTATTCTTCCTTGTTAACAGCCTTGTCTAGTGAATGTATTATTGTTTGAATATCAATGACGCCCTCAAGGTAGATTGGTGGAGGTGGAGGCTCTTTTTGCGGTAGTTGATTGTCCGTCATGTTGATATCTGTTGACGATTCTAATAGTGAAAATCTGTTTGTTGTAGGAATTGCACATGTCGGTAGTACAGTACTGGGTTTAGTATTATTTCCAGAGATATCGAGCTTTCTTTTCTTTGTGTTCGGACTTGGTCCTCGGATTGCAGTGTTTATCTGCCACGGCGGCGGTAGATAGCTAGGAAGTAATTCTAGGTCTTGATTATGTATCTGACTTAGTGCCATCTTCGAACTACATATTACCGATTAAAATCGGAATAACTAGTCGAGAGGCATAGATATTGATTCGGTTGTTAAGGAAGATTGTTCGATTGGAACTTTGAAATATGTATATGTATCACGATCAGTCTTATTTACGCAAAGGTAGACGTACACTCACTATGTTTGTAAACTCACGGAGCATAATCACACACGTCTGTACGCTTCGACTGTCGAACACGAACTCTTCTTCAATAAAGACATTTTTTGAAAATATCTCGAGATCTAATAATTTTTTTGCCATGGTATCCTAATCATTTTTTACGTAGAACAAACAGAAGAATCGATTTGTGTAAAAAAAAATATGCATTTCTATTTCTATTTCTTGTTAATTGCACGTGCATTGCTGCATCTAAAAAAAATTTTAAGGCCTAAAGATGTAGTGCTCTTCGAACCATTTATCTTTCTCCTTTGGCATTTTTTCGTAAATGCAATAATAACGGAGTTATGACTTGAAACAATTGCGTGGACCACCCTGTATAGCGTATTCCTCATTTGAGAACACAGGCATTTTCACCACGATTCTTGATGTAACGAAATCATATCGAAATAGTAAACATGACATGAATAGACAAATAAGATAAACACGTTCGACCTTTGAATTTTCAATAAAGTAAAGTCCCCCATCATCTATTCGAAATTTATTACTTTATAACTAGACTGCGAACGTGCCTACAAAAATTGAACTTACGTAAGAATTCATTTTGCCCTGCAAATATTATAATACAAACTTTACTTTCAATATTTTTTTATATTATTACATATTGTGTGCATTTTGTAGTGTCCTGCATATTCAAATTCCCAGAAATGCATAAAAATCCGCAGTCTATTTATAATTTTATAATAAAGTGTTTCTAAGCAAACTTCAATTAACACTTCTTTCTTATTTCCACTTGTAGTATTATATATGGTCCCCAAATTTGTCAATTTAAATCTGGTACATCCTGTATAAATACACTGTAATGGAGATCAGATTGAGAACTTAGATGGTTGGTAATTTACCATAATAAAATGACGAATAAATATTCTTAGTAAGATTACACTTACAAATGATTGCATGTAAAAGAACTAATTTCTACGCCTAATATTTTTCGATGAAAACAATACCAACGACGAGGGGACAGTTTTGTTTAAAAGTTTCCATAACAATGACGCTTTTTAATCCTTTAGCGTTTTCAAAAAGAATACCTTACTCACCGACAGGCGATGTGCCGGAAACGGATTGGCCGGTGCATTGCTGATTGGAATTCTGATTGCTGTTGCTTCCCGCGCTTGTGCTCAATTTTCTCAATTGTTTCTTGTGCTTCATTCGCCGGTTTTGAAACCACGTTTTCACTTGAGTCTCCGAGAGGTGAAGAGCCGCCGCAAGCTCGACCCTCTCCGGGGTGCTGAGGTACCTCTGCACCTCGAATCTGGCTTCCAAACCCGCTAATTGTTGATCACTGAACACCTAAATACGACAGAGTACGTAACCGTGTAGCGTTTAAACAATATTCGATGATTCGTGAAGTATTTCTGTTTTATAGTTTGTACAATGCATACAGACACGATTACATTATGTTATATTTATCACTTCGATTAGCGCTCTATGTAGAAAGATTTTACAAGAGAATTTTAAATAAACAGTTTAAAAGAAAATTTTCATTACGTTTTCAGAATGTTTCATTAGGAGTGTGTACATAAACAGACTTTACACGTTTATATACTTGCAATACGAAATTTATTTGAAAAACATCAAACCTATTATTTAATTTAGACAAGTTTCTTTAATTTCTTTAGACATTGAAGGTACGAATATTTATGGGACTGGCTGTAAGTGATAACCTAATTTTATCATACTCTGCATATGATTTAGATCATGTAGCGCAAATCAAACTCCATCATCTAGCTCTTCTAGCTCAAATAGAACTACAACAAGTGAAAATTCAGTTACCCAAAATGCATCAATGTCAAATAATAATCGAGGGATGTCAAACAGATAAAGCCGTCAAGGGCTGTAGCTACGTATGTTTGATTGCAGCTACAGTAGGAGTTTAGCAATTCTAAGATACTCGAACTACAGAAGGGTCGATGGGCCCGAACAGACTGCTGACAACCCCATTAGGGATTTCAAATAATTATAACGAGAAGTGTGAAAGCAAATGAAACCGCAAAGTAATGTAAAGCAAGAATTAAATGAATATAAAGAATGAACAAATGCAAGACTGGTTAACTGATAGAACTGGTTAACTGATTCTTGGAAAGCTTTTTTTATTTCATATTTGACTATTTTAATTGCTTGTTTTATTGTTTGAATTATCGCGTCGTTTTCGGAGTTATAATTGCAAAGTCTTGACATGTAGATTGTTTAACCCTCCGACACCGGTCACTTTTCCGACGTTAATTTCGAAGTCCCATTCCTCTGTCGTCGAGAGTATCGAGCCATGTGTTTACATTGTAACTCGATCCGTAGCAATCGGCTCTCCCCACTATTCTAACTTTTACCGACAGAAACGGTTCGAAAAACGAAACGTTTTGCTTATTGCAAAAGAAGTAGTTTTCGGGACAAAATATTAACAAAACGAATTGGTTACGAGACATTATTAATATGATAATAATATTTGCATATAAAAATTTGATTTTAAACCTTCTTTTGTAGCGCGTATGGACTTGGATTTCGATGCCTGAATAGTGACCCGGCTCCGTCGTTCGTGCGAGCGCCCGGCGTCCGAGGGTTAAGTATTATAGTCATGTTATTCTACTTTGCACCCTTATATTAAGTGTAGAAATTAATTCTGCGCTTTTACATTAAGTCGTTTATAACTGTAGTTTGACTAAAAATATTTATTCGACGTTTTGTTACGGTAAATTACTAACCTTCTATAGTAAGTTTTCAACCTGACTTACATTATAATGAATCTATATATTAGGTGTAAATATTAATTATGTTCCTTTCTATGGTAAAGTTACCATTCATTTATACGGAAAAATCATACAACTTTTAATTTGTTCTCAGTCACACATTCTAATTTCATTACTGTGAAGGTTGGTACTCTAACATAATAAAGTGGCTAGTATATATTTCTACATAAACTACAGTTATAAATAATTATGTAAATGTTAAGATGCAGAATTCATTTCTACACCTATTAACACTTTATTTACCGGGAGCCTATTTATAGACTTTTTAATTGCAGTATTTAGCTATTCGAATTTGTTTACTGTGTCGAGGGTTGTCTACTTACAATGTTCAGTTTTTAGAAACATACTTGGCTTTCAATGTACCCAGTAACAATATGGAGGAATTATTGTCAGCCTAGATTGGCATATGTCACTGTAGAAAATTCTTTTTTTAATTAAAGACTGTTTCTAAATAGACCGGTAGATAAAGTGTTAAATAAAACTCACTCACTCACTGAAATAAATCATTTTCCAAGCACTAATAAAAGCTCTTCCTTCTGCTAACACTAAACCAAAATTTGTATGAAGAGGTCATTTCATCGTAGACAACCTCAAATGACTACATTTCCATTAAAACCATATCAATTATTACTCACACCTAAAGCTACACCCATAAGAACAAGTAATTAGAAAAATTGAAGTACGAATAAGAAATGTGAGGTTTTCACTGACCGTTCGTGCTTTCCGTCGACGGCAGTGCTTCAAGGCCGCGAGTTCACTGACTCCCGGCACTACACCGACCCCCATTGCCGTGTTACCGAACAATGGTCCCAAAAAGAAGGCCGCGGTGGGTGGTGCCGATGGATAGCCAGGCAGCAAACTGGCGAATTGTTGGTAATGTTGATGCTGCACCCCGTGATTAGACGTCAGATGCTGATGATGGAGCTGATGATGAGAATGCGGAGGAACGGTGCCGCGGCTTAGGATATCCTCTATCAGGAATGACGTCCTGTTGGCGGATGTTCCGTTCTGACCTGGCTGAGCCTGCTGCTGCTGGCAAGTCGACTGCATTTTTGCAAAAAGTTTTCTCCAACTTTGCTGTTTCGATGGTTACATTCTCAACCACGAACATTCGCGATCCATTCGAACATCTAAATTCTGACCTCGGGGCTTGATTTTTCAAATTCAAAGTTCGTCACGATAGGATCTTGGCGTAGAGATCGATGAATCTTTGGTAACTTGTGTTATTTCAGATGTCATCGGAATAAGTCATTCGAGACGTCGGGAAGAATTTCTTGATAAAGAAAAATGGCTGTATGATTTTTGTTCACGGAGGGACTAGTTCTGAGCGTTCCGTCGCTCATCAGTGTGAGTTATTGCTAAGGAAGATGAAGTGGACGATTTTGGCAATCTTCAATCTTCAAGCGATCTTTGAGAAACATTCAATGGCGTTATGAGATCCTCGAAAGAATTGACTTCCATTTATTTATCACATATTCACGTCTCCTCATAAACACTACACTATTGCAAACTTCAGAATCGCTAGTTTCAGAATTATGGAGTACGCAAAGGATTTCTTTTGTAGCATTTGTAGTCCAAGTATATGGTAAGCCAGTGTCTTTCGTCGCCAGCGTGACGCCCTCCAAAAATCAAACACCCAGAAGTACAAATTCTCAGAGTACTATGTTCACCAAACACGCACCAACTATCGATATACTTTTTTTCTAAAGTCTATCCTTCTGCAAACTATGGTTTCAGAGGCGTTGGATTCTTCTTCGACATCTACAGTCCAAGTAAATTGCAAATTCTTTGTGAAACGTGTTTATTAATCCTGTAAACGTTCGACAATTCCAAACTGTTGCAAACTTTAATGTCAGGATCATGGAAGGTTGAGGAATTGTTCATTGAAGTTTACAGGCCAGTAGAACACTATGATACTCTCTTGGAAGAGAAAACGTTCACCAAACACGCACCAACATTGTTCAACCTGAATTCTAGATGGTTGCAAACTATGAAAAATGACGAATTCTTTAATGACGTCTACAGTTCAAGTGCACCGTAAAATAATTTCCAAAAGTGTCTGTACAAATTTTTTTCTGGTAACTCACATTTGTCAAACATTCACCAACATGTGTCAACCTAACTTGTAAAGTATTGTAAATTCTTCAATGATGGTTTCAAGTCAAGTACACCATTAAATAATTCTTGTTTTCGTCGTGATGAACGAAACAAACTCTTCCAAAAGTATGTGTCAATTATCGGTCCTCCTGGTAGTCCACGTTCACCAAACACCCACGCACCAACACGATTCAAGCCTCTGATATATTTCCCTATCAATTCTAATATTTTGTAAACTGCAAAAGATGACGAATCCTTCTGTACTGCTTACAATCCACCACAATACAATTTATTCTCACGTTGTCATCATCGAGAAATCAAACTTGTCCAAACGAATGCATATAAATCCTTCTCTGGTTGCCCACGTTCACTAAACAACCACCATACACAGTCTAACCTAAATTCTAGATGGATACAAACTCTAAAGGATGACAAATTCTTCAATAACGACTACAATTCATGTGCACCGTAAAATGATCCTTAAAACTGTGTATACAAATCCTTCTGATAGCCCACATTCGTTAAATATTTACCAACATGTCTCAACCTAAATTTTAAATTGTTATAAACTATGAAGGTTGAGGAATTTTTCAATGATGGCTGCAGGCCAAGCGCACTATAAGATAATTTTTGTTCTCGTCGTGATGAACGAAACAAACTATTTCAAATTTATATTTTCAAGTCCTGTTGGTATCCCACCGTGTTCATCAAACACACACCGGCACAATTCGAGCCTGATATATTTCTTTACCAACTCTATATTTTTGCAAACTACAAAAGATGACAAATTCCTCAGTACTATCTACAGACCACCACAAGAGAATTCATTTCTTCACTATCATTATCATCATCGTCGTCGTCGTCGTCGTCGTCGTCGTCGTCGTCGTCATCTTCATTATCATCATCGCCAGCTCTTCTTAAAGTGTACATATATCTCCAAATTCGCGCTCACTAAACACGCACTATATTTAAACTACCGAAAGCTCACAGGACTGTTGACGAAAAGAAGTCACCACTTAGACGTCCCTTCGACCTGCATTCCGTTCGATTAGGTCTCCATCGTCGTCCAGATGCACGTGCATGGTACACAAGGGCGAACCACTGATGTGGACGTTCGTCCGACGATTCCTAATCCCGACGCACGCAGACGAGACGCGAGACACATCGAAGGGTCGTTTGCCGAGAATCCTCGGCCGAATGGGGGTCACTCGGGAGCCGCGACACGGTGAAATTCCAATTAAACGGACACCTCCGTCACGGAAGACGATATCTAGCCTGTGGAAGAAAGTCCGCGGGCTAAAGTGACCGGGTTGCCGTTGTACAACGATGTTTAGGGAGTATCGGTGCGCGATTCAAGGCGATTCAAGGCGATTCAAGGCGATTCAACCCCCCGCTACGCGATCATCTCCACCCTCACCTGGTCTAACTGGCCAAGAAGAGAGTAAACCCTCGGACCGGATGTTCAAGGCTCGACAGCCGTCGGTATTGGTCGGCGTCGCGACGCTGGTCGTCGCAGCGGTTGGCCACGTCGGAACGACGGGGCGGTGCCACGGGCAACGTTTCCATGGTCACCGTGCTTCGAGGGTTCGCGGAGCTCACCCCCGACGCGACGGATCGAGGCTCGAACAGAAAGGGAGGAAACGAGGAAGGAGTGGAGGATCCTTCTACTATACATATATCCGTGGCTGCCCATGTTGTTGCGCATTCACATCGACTGCACGATAACGGCGTTCACGCGTGCACTTCTGAGGTAGCGTTTTCTACCGCTTAAATTGTATTTCATTTTCGCCCCCCACCCTCTTCATATCCGCGGTCCGAGGAGCCAGATGTAACGATTTGCAGCTATTTCTTCGCACTCCTGGGTTTCATAGCAATTTAGCTAGTCTGCCTTTTTTTTTTAAAGGAAATGGGTTTTCGTAGGATTCATGAAATGTGGGGAAGATAGTTGTTGAGATTGGGGATGGTTTGACATTGTTTGTTGTGGATGGTAGATGTAAGAAACTGTTCATGGAAAATTGTTAGAGGTTTTTTTTTTATTATAGCTTACCCAAACCTCTTAGGAGGTTTATACAGCTATACATTATTATTGTACATAGATTTATAAATACAATTTTACCAAAAAAAAAGAGTGTGCAGGAGTTTAAGCAGTTAAACTAAGTATTACATAGGGAATGATTAAATTTGTAGGTTCATTAATCGAAAAATTTGCACATCTGTAATAGAACTTGAATGTTACACTTGCAAGAAGAGGTTTAATATCCAGTGGTGGGGACTGTTTACGCTTTTTTAATTTCTCGATAAGTGTCATTCTTTGGAATTCATATAACGGACATTGCCAAAGAACATGATCTAGGTCTTTTATGATATGGTTACAGTCGCAATTAGCTTGATTCGTAATCCCTATAAGTGCCAGTGATGCCGCAAGATTGTAATGGTCAGCTCTACACCTATTAATGGTTACTACACAACTTTTCTTGGAAGATTTTTATCGTGGAACCACGTTTTTTGCTTTCTGCTGACATAGCGTTTAAAATACACTTTACCTTTCTCTAGACCTTGACTTTGATTGCGCTTTTTAGTATTGGAACTAGCATTATACTTATGCAATTCTCTAAAGTTTGTATGTAGGATTGGTATAGTTTTATTGGGTTCAAACAATGTGGCATTCTTGGCTCAGCTGTCAACATCTTCATTACCATGAATACCTAGATGTGACGGAATCCTGATGAATTCTATGTTACTATTATTTGAGCTTTTTTGTTTGAACTCGCTATATTTGCTTTTGATACTGAGTATGTATGGATTAATATTTGTATTTACTTTATTATTTTTAATCCGTAATGACTTTATAATTGATATTAGGATTGTTTAAGGCGATATCTAGTGCATTATTTATTGGAAAACATTCAGCCGTAAATATAGATGATTCTACAGGTAGAGTTTTTTTAATTGTGATGCCTAGTTCATAACTAGACTGCGGATCTTTATGTATTTATAATATGTCGAAATATGCAAAATATATGCAAAATATATGTAAGATGTATGCAAGGTATATGCTAAATATAAGTATAGGGAGTGTATGTATGGATATATAAAATAATTATATAATAACTATTTTTTATTTTTTATTTATTATAATTTAAATTACAATATACAACAATAGTTTTTTCAATATTTTCGATTGTAAATTGATGCCTCTTATCTATTAAAATTAATTTATACGCCGAAAAAGAGCGTTCTACATCACATGATGTTATAGGGGCATATTTAAATTTATTCCAATGATGTGCCAGAACCTCTCGTTGTTCTTCAACGTGTTTACCCTTTAAAATCTTGCTTATTTTGAGTAATATATTAGAGTGTACTTTCCGTTTTAATACTGATTCCATTTTATCTATAACTTTTTCTCCATAATCACCGGATATAATTTTTAAATTTTCTGTAACTGTAGTTACCAAATCTATAGATTCTGTTAGAGGTAATCCTATTGTTTCCAATTTCGTAATAGCTACTGATTACCTTGGAAAATGGAGATTAACTGCAGCGTGACTCTGTCTGTTTACACATTATAGTATCATCGATTGTGTATTGTCTCTTACTGTATGTCAATACAGTATTTACCAAATCGAAATTAGAACACGTTGTCGATCGTAGCTGATCAATCTTTTAGGCACATCTATCTTATTTACTCTGCCGGACCATTAAATAATCGGATAAGCATTTATGCAAAAAATATGCAACATATGCTATATGCAAAATATGCAAAATAAAAAAATATATTTTTGGAATCATCTAATCATGATATAAATTTCTGTCCAGGTTCCATTCGTCTACCTGTTTTCTACAAAAATATGCATTTGCATAAAGATCCACAGTCTATTCACAACATAAGCAAACACAACCCACTGACTTAGAATTGGGTATCTTGCTACCATCAGTATATATCTGGATAGATTGATCTTTTACTAAAGTGGTATTAAACGTAGAGTTAGGAGTTTTGTTATTTTGTAATAAGTGGCCAATTTCAGTAGTAATTGTAATCGAAGTAGTTATTATCTTGTAGTCTGTGTCATACAAAGCTAGATGATTATTTGTATACAACTTATTTTTCGTTATATTGAGAGTATTTTCAATACACTGTTGAATAAGCCTCTTCCTTTTGTGCTTCTATTTTTTAATTATTTGATAAAATTGGTGAATATTTATATTAGCTAAGACATGTGTGTTAGAAAAATTGTTAGAGTTAATAGCCTTTCAAGATGTGATAACTATGAACTATGTAGATTATTAATGTAATTGTGATGGATAATAGGAAAGTAAATGTATTTAATTAGATACAGAAATTTCCTCTGAACCTTTCCGAAGTAAACTTACCATTTATTTAATATATATAGAAAAGCCATAAAATTTTTAATCTTCTCTTATTCACACATTTCAAAAGAGCACATAAATTTGAAAAACTAAATGTTGAAGCAATCTGTGTGTTTTATTAATAACGTAACCAAATGGAC